TGGGACCGGAATAATGTCGGGCCTAGCTTTTGTCTCATCCGAGGCGATAGATGCACAACCCCTTCCACAACGACCACCGCTGTCAACCACTGCCGCAGCATTGCCACAAAAACAAGCAGTAATCCTTCCAGAACCGTACGGTCCACACGAAGCATCCATAGCAGCAACGAGCAACGTGGTTGTGCTTGTCGGCTGTCGTGCTTTGTCTGCATGTGATTGCCGTTCCGTTGAAACAGGCGGTGCTACCAGACGGGAAGCGTTCATGTGAACGTGAGATATCTCGCCGACCAGGAGAAGACAGAAACAGACAGGCACGCGAAGATGAAAACGTAAAAAAAAAAAGTGTTTTCGATCGAAGCCCCTTCAAAACAGTGTCCTTTGCAGGGCGCATGTCCGAAAATAGCTGAGGGCATCGCTCCAGGCATTCACTACTGGAACTTAAGGGCTCGGGGCCCGGGGAATTAGGGGCAAGGGTTTACGGTGCGAGGCCAAGTCTTCATACTTTCAGGTTTAGGGCTGCCGTCGAAAAACCATCTCAAGCCAGCAAGGGTGAAAGATCAATGTGCCCCAACAATCAGGCAAAGGTTCCCGCATATCCTACACCATTGCACACCTCGAGGGTCCAAGAAACTCTACAACTCTGGTTGGCGCTTTGATTAGATACTTGGGTTCTGAAATCACTGTGCGGGAAGTCTGGGAAGTCCTTCAAGGACTGAGCATATGTTATTCCAGGATATTCCAGGCACTTGGACAGGAAGCAATACAGGTGCTTGGGACATCTTGCACTGCACTATACCGCACTTATCATCGGACATGTGGGATGGAAAGTACTAAACTAGCATGGTCGGCTGCATGCCGTGCCGCTAGTCTGGCCAAAGCACTGTGAAGTTCGAAAAGATTCGTTCGACGTTGTTCGAAGCCATCAACAAGCCTCAAGGCAGCAGTCGACGGCAACAGCTCAAAAGCGCTGCGAATCAAAAAAGATGTTGCCAGGCACGCTGTGCGCCCAGCTGGGGTTCATGATACCGGGCTGGATCATGGAGAGAAGGAACACAAGCTGCGCAAGGGCACAATGCTGTGTTTGCAAAAGACCGCAGTCGGATCAGTTGAGGGCTGCTGCAGATCTTGAATGATTAAGACTTTCGGTGTTGAGGGAGTATTGCCCACATGGTTCCACACTTGCCTAATCAGGAGGGTCTTCACAGAATGGCAGTGGACCTGGCACAAGAGGAACACGCTGAACTCCAAGAGCCGAAACCTGCAGCTGCAGCGATGCGTCCGATGTCCGATCTCCAAGCCGAGGGCTTGGCCTCGCATCGGCCCTTTTCTTTCGCTTCTTCTCCTGCACTTGGACGGTACCCAACGGCCCTAGCACGGCAAACGAGCTTACTGCGGCCGTCCTGGCCCTGCTGCATGAGGTCGTTTAACGAGGGGATGACGTCCATGTTCACTTTGGCCGCCTGTTGAAGCCCGTGGAGAGGAATGAAAGCTCCAGGAAAGGAAGCACAGGCAACCCGACCATATCCCGAGGCGCCTCGGAGTCATCGCCACCCCGCTTCTTGCGAGCATTTTCCAGCTCCTATGCACTTTGCGCACCTCTTCTCCTACCGACTCTTCCTGCCCTAACCCTTGGCCATCTGAACTGCTGCCCTCCCGAGAAATCTCGGGCACCCGGGACTGAACCGGCTCTCCTTCTCCAGCTGCCGCTCATTGAAAGTAAAATCCTTGGCCAAGAAAGCTCGCCGCCAGACACTCCCAATGCAAAAAGACTACCGGGATTGTGATGCCAGGGGCGTGTCCTCCCATTTCTCTCCCTTCGGCCTCGCGCATTGACACGAAGTCAAAGGACACTCAATGTACACCTAAGCCTGCAATTCAATTGCGTGACCGCTTGCATCACAGTGTCTGCCTGTTCAGGTCCTCTTTGCTGAGCACAGTGCTGGCACCTGCGATTTGCTGCCACGTCGTGACCGTAATGGACGTCTGCTGCTTGTCACACTCAGGCTCTGACGCACGAGCGTCAAGCAATAATTGCGGCCTCCACGGCATGCGGTTTTGTCGGCTACTTGCTCGCAACGTAGCAGACTACATGCCCACATTGTGACATGTGCAGCTGTTCTGGCTTCGCGCTCTTACATCCGATGCTGACTCCGCAGAAGACATGCCGTCTCCTTTCATTCCCATGAAAACCTCATTGAAACAGTATTATGACTGCGCACGAAATTGTGGCAGAGCCTTTGACCATCCAACAGTCTCGTTCACGAGGGGCCTCACCTCGCCAATCTGGATGATGGTGCCATTCTTGTACCATGAATTCGGCAAGCTCCTGCCTTCTTTACCTGGCGAGGCATCATCAACCTCAGATGAGTACGGGCGTATGAGGAGACAATGATGCTGGAAATGTACCCAAGTTCAAAGCCACGGCCATCGAGCTCGAACTAGCAGAGTTCCTCCGGTACCACATCGCATGGAAGTACGGTGCAAGCCAACCGCGATTTCATGTGCAGCAAACCCGCTCTTGAAATTGGCTGATGCAGATTGAGATGGCGGCACCTAGGCGGGCGCCGGCATGCAGCAAACACGTAAGAGTTGTGAAAGACATCGGGGCAGTACTCTACAGTGTCTCTACAGAATGGAAAGCAAACTCGATACCGTCAAAATAGCAGCAACAAGAACCACGACAGCGGAAAGCAATGGATCGCCAAGCACAAGAAGACAGTCGCCTCATAAACTTCTCAGAGTCTGATTGGTGGAACATGTGCTTCTGAATCGCTACAATTACAATAGGATCATGGATGCCTCAGCTGTGGACAGGAGGCAGAATGATGTCGACCAGGTCCATGTTGTCAAGCCTGGAGTATCAAAGTGGGTCTCTAGGTTTCCTTTCAAGAACATTACAAGTACTTGAATCGAAAACCGATTCTCTCACCAGGGGCCAATGCACAATGCGCCCGTCTCCATCGAGAAAGAAAACCTTGTCAGGATCGAGGCCTGGCAAAATCGAACAGTCATGCACTCGTCTCCAAGAGCAAGTTTGTCTTGCGGGCAGGGTGCCCCAGTATTTGGCAGCTTGTTTCCCAAGGCTCTCGACCTTCACCATAGAACTCGACATAGCTCAAACGAAGCCTGGAATCTTGTTCCGCCTTCTCGTTCAGATGAACAAGAAATTTAGCATCTCTGGATCCTGGCAAAGGGAAAGTTCAACAGCTCAACTGCACAATGGAACACTGCCCGCACCTGCTCCCTCTCCATTTATGTGAAGATTGAAACCTGTTGTTTCTGTGCCGGTCAGAAAATGGACATCGACCATCATCTGCTCATCCTGCCATCCCATTCCCCTCAACATGTCAGACACAACGTGCGGGAAACAGTGGACATCGCTGCGGCGGACTTCCTCGTTCTTGGGTCGTCTGCGCAAGAACCGATCGATGGTCTCTCTCGTAACCTCTGGTGCTGTGACATCCGGCAGCGCGTGCGCTTCAAAAAACCGGGAGTCCGACACTTTGGATTCTTATTTTCTGGTCTGTGTCCAGTGTCACTCTTTGCTGCTGCCTGATGACATGGGACACAGATGGAAAGCATCTGTTGCAACGCTGCAATGGAGCCAAAAGAAGGCCTGAGCTCATCGTACTGCTGCTTCTCCTCAGTGAACTCGTCGTTGCCTCGGGGAATCTTCCATGCAGATAGCTTCCGAAGATGTGAATCGGCATTCTCTTTGCTGGTTCTTTCGTATGCACGATTCACCATCGTGATCCGGTGGACAACACGTTGTTATGCGATTTAAGGCGTGACTACATTTGGCTTAGCTCTAACCACGCTTGTTTGGAATACTGATCATTCAGAACAGGCTCTTCACTCCTACTCTGCAAGCAACTGACTTTGCTACCGCCTGCCGGACTCATAACAGGCAAGGGACAGGCATCACTTAGACTTGTGTAAAGCAATACAAGACAATGCAAGCAGTCATGCAAAGAAGGTTAAGATTCGGACAATCCTTCAATTTGTTCTGGAGTTCGAGCATCTCGAGTTCCTCCTGTCGCACATGCTCCGAAAACTGTGCCTGTCCCGCATTCCTTCGCTCGAACTCAATGCCATCGATCAGATACACCCACGATATGCATGCGTTGGATGTCCTTCTGGAGCAACTTATTGAGATCCACCTGCTTGCGGACGAGCGTTTTGTGCGCAACCAATCAAATCAGGCAATCAAATCAGGAATGCAGTCACAAGGGTTGAACGGCCTCCTCCCTCTTCATCTTTCTCTGCAGCTCCTGCAGGTCGAAAACGACAGCTGCTCCAGCAGAAGTAACAAGGCATCTCACAGGAACATGACATCTCTGGCTTCTCTGGCTTCTCCAGAAGCTCTGTCCTGCAAGTGGTCAGACTTTGTAATTCTTTCCAATGGCTTGCCGGTCTCGTCGAAACCCTCGACCTGGCGCGAGAGGATTCGCAATTTGACCGAACTGCTGAAGACTGTGGACGTTGCATCCACGAAGGTTCTGTGAACATATCGTGCTGATAAAGTCGCACCACTTCTACCGGGGGCTCTGTGCATGCGGAGCCTTGTGTAGCTTTTACAGGACCACTCACTCTTCACCTAGGAAAGGGTGCCGGGAGTTTGTGGCTCTGCAAAGAACTTTGAAAGTTGCCACTTCACCGCACCACCTTTAATAGTTCCTCAACTCCTAAACCTTTACACAGTTCTCCAAAACATCCAAACAAGTCTGGGCCGCCCATTCTTTGATTCCTTCATTTTCGGCCATCTCTGCGCGGGGGTCACCCCTCCAATGCCGATAAATACCTTCCGACTTCGGCCCTTTCTGCCACGAGGCCTCGAATATTCCTCGAATCATGCGTCCCGTGGCGATGTAAACATGTCAAGTGTCTTGGGGCTGAAGTCTTGCATACAGTCTTGAGCACGCTGCGGCCGGCAGAGTCTGGCTCTAGCTGGACATACAGGCATAATCGCAGGGGCGAAAACAAGAAGAGGACGAGTCTGCCTGTAGATGATGAGTATTCCAACCAAGATATCCCATCGAAGCTTCCACCTTGTCTCGGACGCTCGGACTCCGAGTTTCTTGCACACGAGAAGACAAAGGCTCCAAGGCTCTTTAAGACTTCAAGATCCGCGCCGATAATCGGGCGGAACGATGTACCGTTGCAGCAGGCAGGCCTTTAGCGCAGGCCCAGATAGGCCTGGGCCTATGCATTTCTGAACTCCAAGCTCACCTCCGTCTCTTCGACCGACTCGACCACCCCTGTGTTGGGGTCCATCCTGCACTGCGGTGTCTCGGCGGCGTGCTAGGATTATAGGTGGCCCATCTCTCCACCGCCTTCTCGTGGAAAGCAGGACAGGATGTGAGGAGCTTCTGGACGTTGTTTTGGTGCCTTCAATCCGACATGTTATGGGCTATGGGATGCTGAGCAGAAACATCACCACCGCCGCCACTGCCTGCAGACGACAGACTCCCCAAAGTCCTCGTTGTGTCGATCCTGGGTCGGGCCTGGCAACGCGAACCAGTGCAGACAGCAGTGAGGGCCGGGGGCACATCGCAAGCTTTGGACCTAACGTAAAGACAAGGCTGGAAAGTTGAATTAGCAGGCCCTTGACGAGACTTGACGAGAGAAGGTCGCAATCGAAGGAAACCTGGTCAGCCCGGATCAGCAAAACCTAGCCGGATGGACACCACGTGGAGAAGGACTCGATGGAGACGATGCTGGATCAAGTGAGCCTTGCAATCGCAAGCAATAGAAAAACAAAGCAAAACTCGTCGATGGAGAAAGCAATATCGTGCTTCACCGTCTGCGTGAGATACTGTGCGAAGGATACGCTTGGGATAATTAATCGACACACCAGAGACGACAAGTAAGTAAGGCCGGCGAGAAACAAGTTTACGTCTCGCCCCACCCTTCCACCCATGGGTCCTCTTTGATATTTCCACGAAACGCATTTGCTCGACCAACAAAACGATTCTGAAAGCCAAGGGCACTCTTCATGAGCATACAAGGAAAGCAAAGCAGCTGCTCCGCACGCCCGATCCCTCCTACCTCTTGTGGCTCTGTTTCGGAGGGCGAGCAGAAAACGCCCAGCTGCACCCCAGAACCGCGGACGAAGCTCTCTTCTTCCACTGGGCTTGAGGGACGGGTTAGGTCCCCCGGCCAAATGGGCCCCCCATTTGTTATGCTTTGAGGGGACCGTGAAAGTTTAACACAGGGATACAATGGACAGGAAGGTTTTTGTACTTTCAACATGTTTCCATTGTTCCCATAGGTTCAGTTCGTTGGACACCTGCATGAATTGAACTACACGCCTGCTTTCAAAATGACACATGATAAATGCTACAAGACGAAGCTTCACTTGACTTCACTTCGGGGTTCAGAGGGCGAGTTAGGCCCCCGCTCCGAGAGGCACGCCCCTGTTGAGAGGCTTTAAGGGGCAACAACAGTCGGAGCTCGGAAAAAGATATAGATGAAGCTCTCTCTCTCTCTCTCTGTCGCTGTCTTTCTTTCTGGGGGTCGACCCGCTGTTCCATTCGTGGCTAGTAGCTTCGGCCCTGATTGCAAGTTCGGCCCTGACTGCAAGCCAGAACAGACAAGCACCTGCTCAACTCCGAACGAAAACACTCGAAACATAACTGGCAAGGCTGGTCACGGTCTCACTGGGCGCTCGCCAGGGCTCTGTGCTAACTGCCAGGGTCAGGAAATCTTGGCCTGGAAGCACAAAGGCATCAACCCGTGGCTCAGGCATCAATCATCTTCTACCCCTGTGTACAGTTTTTGCTCTGGACAAGGAAGCTCTCTACTAGGTGGCCCTTAAATGCACTGCGTAGCTCGGATTCCTTAAACAACAACAGCAGCAATAGCGAGTTAATACTACACCTTCCATCAACGAGTTGAAGGACAAGCATCCCGGAGTTGCCCCTTTCTCTTCACTGTCAGCCGTTGGTGTGTCGGTGCTAACTGGAGGCGTTGCTCCTTTGCTGACGGTGCCCGCTCTCTCTCACGCTCTGTCCCTCACAGCACCATACCCTACCTGTATGATGCAAGCGGCCTTAGCGGAGCCTAGGACCTAGGGGCCTGGAGCCTAGAAGCGCGGCACTGTAGGCCTCTTCCCCAATGTGTGGGTCCTCTGACAGCCGTGGCGGGATTGGAAACGCTAGGGCTTTGGCGAATCTTTCGCGGACTGGGCTCGGAGGTGTCGTCCCTTGTATCCCTGGCACAAGTGCGTTATCAAGCTGATGGGCAGTCGACCTGCTTGATAATCGTGAATACCTTTCCCATGAGACTCCATTCGGAATGCCACTACCAAACAAGCAGAGTCCCCGACCCGCTGGGTACTCGCAGGAGAGCTGCCCTCGCAAACGCGGACGGAACGCCAAAATGTCGCAAAGCATGGTCTTGCTTTCTCACCAGGACACGGAATCGGAGTCGCCCGATCTGTGCTTAGCACCACAGGAGGTAGGTCGTCTGCACTGCTGGCGACCTTAAGACAGGTCTCACTCATCGCCGCATGACACTTCTGTTCACCATTCCTTCGGGGCGGTTGTGCTCGATGTGTGCATTCAAAACTGTCCGAAACTTGCCGCGACACTGCTGACGCATTTTGCCCACTTCGTTTTCTTGACTGCAGAACCCACATGTCTGAGTGCACGACACCGTGAATCAAAACCAGAGACTGGCAACAGGATAAGAGAAACATCAGATTGTGTCGAATTGTACGGTGCTGACACCTCTAGAACGCAAAACTATTGCACATCAAAGGCACCGAGTACAACACATGGACACGCAGGGAGTCTGAGAAGCAGCTGCAGCCTTCGCTTCGCGCTCATCGCAGTGACTCACCCTCAGTTCGGACCCGAGCACCTGCCAGAGCTGCAACACAAATTGTCAGCCCATGCAGCGAACTGCGAACAAATGACAATGCGTGCCACGCGTGCCTTTACCATCTCGTGCTTCAGCTTCTCCTGGGGCAAACAGCGCGTTCGCTTGGAATGACTTCCATAATCACACTACTCGTGCTAGACTGTTTACTAACATGAGAATGCGAAGTGTTCAGTGCCGTATCGTTTTTCCGGTTCCGAGATTGGTGCTCATGAGTTCACCTGCGAAATCGATCACTGGGGGTCTAGGGCCTGGACCGTTGTATCCCGAAGGCAACCCTGCCGGCCACAAAACTCCGGGCCCAGAACCACGCACAAGCCACACTCAGGAAAAGAAGTCAGGTACTCAAGTTCACTTCTGACAGGGGGCCGCCTTCTTTTTGCTGCACCAGCGTAGGCGGATGTCCCAAAGTGAAAACACAGCACGTTAGCCGGTGGCGGAGGGTGCGGAGTGGAGGGTTGCTTGAGCGCGTCATATGCTCACAATCGTACCTATGCCGTCAGGTACTCAAGTTCACTTCTGACAGGGGGCCGCCTTCTTTTTGCTGCACCAGCGTAGGCGGATGTCCCAAAGTGAAAACACGGCACGTTAGCCTCCAACCACATCTTCCACACCTTGCATATGACGCATGCCGCCGGCGAAAAACGTGCACCACTGGCTCGTCGGCATCGAAGATGACTGCAGCTGCTGGGCGATGCACAGCACTGTCCGAAACGAATCCAGCAAAGAGGAGACTCGAAGCCGGGAAGTCGGAGCCAGTCGATGCAGAAACTGCACTGCCGTAATCTCCTGAATGTAAATCTCCATTGTCCTGCTGTTCAGCCAGCGGCCTCGTCGGCGGACCATTTCAGAGTCCTCTGAAACTTGCAACAGCCAGGTGGCCCCACCTGCTCGCAGTGAGCCAAGGTCCAAAGCACGCGAGCCTTGGCCAGACCACTTGTTTGTTCCAAGCCTGTCCATCAGAGAATCGAACCTGCTGCGAAGAGTCGCTTGCTGTCGGAGCTCAAGTGGCCAAAAGCCAAGCCGACAACTTCCAGGAGGTCAGGCTGGTCCAGCTTGGCCGACTGGTGTCTTGCCGCTCGAAAACGGGTCTTGGGCTCACCTATGGAGATGAGCGCGAAAGCCATTGTGTCGCCGACGTCCCCAGGAAGGAGAAGGTCGCTCCTGCGCGCGGCAAGGGATTCTCCTATGCGCATGACAGAGCCAGAGCCCCAGGTCATCGCCAGAATGCCCGCTACGCGGGGCCAACCCCAAAGCAGCGAGAGAGTTATCGCAGCCAGCAGAACTTGCCAGGGCAAAGCAACGTGGTGAGAGTGAGGCTCTTCTCTCAACCACGCAAAAGCCAAATCCCAGGACGGCTGAAGGCAGCGCCTGACCCCTGGCTCTTTACTAGAAATAGCGTTGATGACCTCAGAGTAGTGGGAGTAGGGCCAGCCAGCCTCAAAAAGCTGTCGTCCATAGCAAACCAAGAACCCATTGAGCTTCTTGGTGGCGTAGGGGGAGAGGTCCAGGAGGTCTCAGGTTTGCGCCTTGTCCAGACAGCCAGCTGCAGAAGCTTCTCCCTGCGTTTCTGAGTGACGGGCTCAACCGGCCTGCCTTCGGCCAGCACGGTAACAGAACGCGCCCTAGAGCGCCTCTCGTCGGCAGCGTTCCGCGGGCAAAGGACATGGCATGCGCAGCTAGCGAAGCTACAAGCCCCAACCAAACCAAGAAAGCCCTGAAGAAAGGACCCTCGCCGGGAAACCCAAGAGTGGAGTCGAAGAGGCGGGAGGTGCGGCGCACAACACGCCAGCCCAAGGAAGGCCCGGAGCAAAGGCACAAGCAGACCAGACGGGCCCAATTCGAAGCCCACCGACGCAACCTGGGGAGAGAGAGGCCGTCGTACAGCTCGTCAGAGGAGAGCGAAGTCCAAAAGGAATTGGCACAGGGCTCCGGCAGTGCAAGGTCTCGGGTGGGACAGTCACCCGGGTTCAGGCGAGTAGGCACGAAGTGAAAGGCCGGATAGACCCCAGCCAACAGACAAACGGCGGCAATTTTGCGGAGGACGGGAGTGAGGCCCTTGGACGGGCTGCGACCCTTAGCACAAGAGTGAAGGGCAACAGAAGAATCCACAAGAATGACAACACGGCAGGGTCCGAGCGGGGCCAGTGCACGGATAAGACGCAGGATGGAGGCAGTCTCGAGGATATTGATGTGAGCAGCAGCACGCCAAGACCAAGCGTCACCATGTCTCCAGCGCAGAGACAGGACGACGTCATTCAGGAGGCAGTTTTCAAGGCCCTCAGGGTGCAGCCGAAGGAGGGCCTTGACATGGGACACACGACGGATAGTGCGGTCGAGCTCAGCGGCAAGAGCCCGGGCGAAAAGACGAGGGAGAAAATGCTGTGAGGAAGCAGCTGGCCCCAAAACACGAGGACAGCCACAGCATGGTACTGAAAAGGGAGATAAGTCAAGGCCAAAAGCAAGGATCTTACAGCCTATGCAGCCGGCATTCCCAAAGGCACAGAAGCAGGTGCTCACACAGGAAGCACCAAGACGCACAAGACGAAGCCACTGAGGCTGCGACGTAAGGTCGGAAGGCCCCGGTGGCACCAACAGAGCAGGCACGGAGCAGCCGCGGGCACAGAACAACAAAGCCAGGCACATGCAGGGGACTTTGGTTCATAGGCTCTCCTGTGGAGCCCGCGCACGCAGACTGGAGCCTAGGAGGAACCAGCAACAGACACTTGACCCTCTGGTGGTGAAGCAAGAAGAGGATCCACTCGAAGGAGCGGAGCGAAGCAAGATCATAGACAGGACACACCTCAGGCTTGAAGAGTGGCCCAACAGAACGGCCCCAGGACCGAAGGAAGGAGGAGACCTGGCCACAAGAAGCAGCTACCTCAAGAAAGTCGAAGAAGTAGGCCAAGGGCCGGCTAGGATCCGTCGCGGGGGCCGGTGACAGCATGCGAAGGTCCAGGGGCTCGCGGTCCTCAAACTTTGCAAGCACGGCCTCTGCCTTTGACATAAGCCTGCTGTAGCCCCCCTTGCGCGAGGCTGTCCTCCACAAGGGCCGGATTAGATCGACACCGGCGTGGGCAACAGTATAGCCGCCTTTGGCTTCAGAGGCATCTGCGGCGAAGAGCTCGTCCTTAAAAAGGAGCCGCGAGGTCACAGGAGGCAAGCGGCGACAGCAGGCTGGCCAAGACAATCTCCTGAGCAGCGGCGCGAGGCAAAGGGTACAAGGTGGGCCGGGCAGCTTTTACATGGCTGGCCGGAGCAACTCTGTAGACCTCGGCAAAAAGAAACAAGGCAACCGAAGTCCAGCTGCCGACCAGAGAGAGCCAAAGAGTGTCCGTGACATGGCTAAGGCGCGCGGTCTCGAGAGACAGCAAAACCAAGGCGACCCGTTTGGAAGCGGGAGCAACGACAGTGACGACACCCCGGGCTCTCGCGAAACAACTCGAGTTCACCTCTGCCCGGCAATTTTTGCCTGCTGCTCGCCCCAAATATCTTTATCATCTGAGCCGGCCAGCCCCTCCCGGAGGTAGAGAGCCTTTGCCCGGCGCAGATCCTCGACACACGAGGGTGGGCTGGTCGAGTCGGCGAGGTCGGTCACGCTGACAGAGAAAAATCATCGATGACCAGACCCTGTGCGCCGCTAAGACCCTTGAACGGCCTGTTGGAACAAAGTCGGGCGCCGTCATCCAGGAGGCCGCCGTCGATCAATAGATTCTCGTGCGAGGCCGTCCCGACCTCCACGCCGAGATGGTCTCCTTGAGATCAGGCTCGAAGAGCAGCGAAGCACGGGGCGAGCCAGAAGTCACCTGCACGGGCTCATCAAATCCAAGCTCAACGGCGCGCCCTTGCCGTTGAGCTTCGTTCTGAGGACGTTGGGCCCGTCCAGGCACGAGGATGTTGGGGCCATGCGAACCAGCAAAGGCAGGGAGCAGGCGCTCACAGGCAGTCAAGTGGCACACGCTTTCTCGGGGGAGCGCCGGGCCAAGGGCATTGGTAACCGCTTTGGCGTCAGGAGCACCTATCTGATGATAAAAATCTCGGCGGTCCGATGCAGCGCAGTGAAGTGTCTGGCGGGCGGGGGCGACTTCCAACATCCCAAGCATCGGCCCAACCGGAATGAACAGGCTAGGGCCCGGAAGCCGGGATTCAGCAAAATTCTGACCCCTGCGGTCGATGATCATACGGTCCTTGTCGGGTGCCTTGTAGCAGTTGAAGGCACGGGCCAGCAAGTAGCTCTCCGACTTCATCAGGGAGGCCGGGGCGAGGCGAAGCAAACCAAGCTTATCCCACAGCCCCGCCAGGGCAGCAACCTCACGAGGACTCTCACGAGTCCACACTGGGACAAAGGTATCAGGGGGCCGGTGCCCATGGAGCAAGGAGCGAGGCTCCGAGAACGCCATGTAGAGCTCGTCAGGGAGGTAGGTGGCTGGGTCCCAAAGGCCTTGCCCAGAAAGACGCAACCTAGAAACGTCCAAGGACTTGAAGGGGTCTAGGCCAGGACGGGCCTCGTTGTGCATCGGGACAACAGTGCCTGAATGAATGATCAGCGTAAGAGTCCCCCGTGGCAGCCGAGGCTGCGATGAAAGCCGTAAGCTCCGAAAGACTTGCAATTAATTGGGGATTGCGGCGGCCAGAATCAGCAAGAACAAACTCACCGACAGAGGCACCGAACGCCTTCAAATGGCGACCCACATGCGCAACAAGGCTTCGCTGCGCAACATTCATGGGCCGCTGGATCAAGGGCAAAGGGATTGGCACAACGTTCGAATGCAGGAAATTCAAAGCCATGCAAACGATGTGAACGAGACGCTGGTGCATGACCTGGCACGTGAGCCCTGATCCAAAGAAAAGCTGGCAAAGACACCAGCAAAAGGGAGGGGCACAGGGAAGATTACCCCAGAAGGCGGAGCAGACCGGTTAAGCCTGGGCAGGCGCAGCGTTGACAAAAGGAAAGAGGCAAAGGGGGTCCTCGTGCGGAGGACGGCTCGAAGAAGTCCAGAAACCCAGGAGGCAAAACCAACGCAACGACAGAGTCGAAGCCGCAGGTGCTAAGCGAGGGCCGGAGTCCAGGAGGCGGCCGGGAGCATCTCACTTCTGACCTTCGCCGCGGCTTTTTTTTAGGAATCTGGGCGGCTTTTTCGGCTTGTTGGGGTCTTGCGTGTCTGCGTCCACGGCGGGCGGCGCGGCCGTTTGCCGGGACGAGCCGATGGTCTCCAACCGACGCGTCGTGATGAGATCCACCTCTTTGAGGTACTGGAGGGCACAAGTCGTCCAGCCGACCGGTGAGAGCGGGCTGAAGGCTCTCGTTCTCGGGTTTGCCACCGTTCCTCTCCCATGGAACATGCCGGTGGCTCCTCTAGCAAAGTCAAAAGCCATGCGAAATCCCACCGGCCGTGGTCCAGAGTCCAGAGCAGACTGGTCGATGGCTACGACCGTGACCGCCAAAAACTCGCGCGCTCCAGCATAGTCCTCTGCGGTGAGGCAGTCCATCACATGAGCCAGGCACCACATGATGTAGCCTGTCTCCCGCTGGCCAGCAAAGCCGCCGAAACGCTCCAGGTATTGGCACATCGACACCTGACCCGAGCAGTCTTCTAAGGAGGCTGGGGCTCCGGTTTGCCAAGGCGCTTTGCAGCTTCTTTGTCCGGGCTGCGCCCTTTGAACCCACATAGCTCGTAGAGCTCGAGGCAGACAGGTCGCCCAAACCGCCGTCCTGCTGAGCCATCACGTGGCCCACTAGCGCAGAGAGAGCCTGACTCTGTTGGAGCATCGCAGCCTGGAAGCTGTCCTGGGGCACAACACCGACACCTGCAGCAGTGGGGGTCTCCGGCACCAAGGGCAGTATAGCGGCAGGCTCGGCCACGGGGTCGGGAGCCCGAACACGAGGCGGGGGCCCTACCAGAGCAGCTTGCTTTGCAACGGGAAGGCCAGGGGCACGAGGAGGCAGGAAAGGCATCTGGTGAGCCAGCTTGGCAGTAGCCGGCGAAGGCTCCGGTGGGCCGGTCTTGACCTGCCTCTCGAGGTTCTCCTGTCTCTCTGAAAGCTGCTCGGCTAGTTGCGGCAACATGGCTGTCAGCGCAGTCATCTGCTGGGCCAGGTCAGCTGCAGTGACCTTCTTTTTTGGTGCCGCCCTTTTCGCCTTGGCCTTGGCACCCAGACCCGCATCGGCTGCAGCCGGTTCCTCGGCAGCAGAGTAAAAGGCAGCGCGGCCCCCCTGAAGTTCCGAAGTCCATCTCCTGGCCACCGCCAGCAAGTCTTCCGAGAGCGGGACCGCCTCGAGCTGATGAAGGTCGAAGGGGAACAGCGACTCCGCGATGATATCCTCGCCAAGGTCCCTCAGGCGAGGGAGGACCTGGGCCCCGAAGTCCACCAAGAGCACAGAAGCCTCCATGTCCAGAGGTTGTTCCACCCCTTGCTCGTCCGAGATTCCAAAGGGAACAGTGCACTGGTGAGAGAGACCGACCAGTGCCTGGGCGTCGGCCTGCTCTCCTTGGTCTACGGTGGCAAGAGACAAAAAGCCGCAAGGAATGCAAAGGAGAAGCCCCTCCTGCCGCTTCATCACGGGTATGCTCACGGCCTCGGGCACCGGGGCAGTCCTGCCATCGTCCGGCCAGCTCAGGGCATAGAACTGCAGCTGACCATCTGCAAGGGTGGGGAAATCCAAGAGGTCGGTCATTGCTGCGACGGGAGGGCAACTCCAACAGCTTCGCAGTAAACAGCGGCTTCCGAGAAGGATGCAAACGAATGACAGACAGTCTGGCTGCTTTCCAGGGAGCCGACGGCCTCCTTGAAAAGCCGGCCTGAGGAGAAGAGTCGGGGGTACGAGAGCCCTTCACACCGCAAAACCACGTAGAACCTCGGTCGCAAGGCAGCAGGGAGTCGGCAGGAGGGACGAGGGGTAGGAACCCTGTCCTCGAGCACAAGCTTGGCCCAAAGTCCAGCAGTCCAGGCACGTGTGGCGCGGGCCAAAGAGTGGAGCCAGCCCCGATAAGAGACCGACAAGACCGCAAACAGTGGTCAGGAAGAGGAGCAAAGGAAGCCTCAAGGCGCGGTGAGCTGCCCTGGGCTAAGATCCGAATGGTGCCGGTCAGGGGGCCCCGGAGCCGCACGGGAACCAGGCTCAGCGGGGGTCTCGGGACTAACTAACAACCAACCGTCAGTAGACCCACTAGGGGGGTTTTCGGGGCGGATGGCCAAGGAAAGTTGACTCAACGAGTCAGCAAGGTGATGGATGGCCTGAGAAAGGTCCGGGTCACTCATGCAAGTAGGACCGGAGTCGGAGCTCGGAAGGGCGCCTTGGAGTAGGTTGCACAGGAGGAGGCGACGAAAAGGGATCCCGGCAGGGCACCTTAAAAAGAGTATCCCTGAAGAACCACAAAGTAAAGACCACCCCCAAGCAACCACCGCAAAGGAACGTGAGGACCAAAGTCAACACAGAACCTTGACAATGACTTGGGCAGCCCAAACCCCACCAGTTCGTAAGAACCCCCGAGCTTGATCGAGCCACATTGCTTGAGCGCGTCATGCTCACAATCGTACCTATGCCGTCAGTCAGTGAGTCATACGCCGCGCGGCGCGTGTACAGGTATGGCCTGACGCACCGTTCGATACCGGACAATGGGGTCATGTACAAGTCTGGTTACTTCACGGTGGCCGCCAAAATACTGAAAAGTGCTACTTCTTACTTCAGAAACCCATTCCCGTCTCGGTCGACCTACACGCCTCACATACCTGCTGGTAGCAGGCTGAAGAGCTCCAGGTATTAATGCAGATAAGTGCAAAGGATGGTCCAGGGGAGATTTTAAGACCTTGCCGAACAAAAGCAGCTGGCGTTGTGCGAGCATGTCAGAAGCGGCACTGCAGCGTGCACGACGTAAAACACGGCTCCTGAAGAACATGGCGTTTTTTCAGGAAAAGAAAATGACGGGAAACCCACAGCTGCTTCGCGAATCTAGTTTCCGCTGTCCGAATCTTGATGACAGGAGAAACCAAAGCCACACCTCTCGGAGGGATTGCCTGTTTGCTCCGTTTAGAAGCCAGAAAGCCATGCTGCATGGTCGGAGGGGCAGGGGCAAGGAACGGGGCGGAGCAGCAAGGTAGTTCAGCGAAATTCCAACAATCATCCTCACTACAGGTTCTATAGTTCGTGGTTCACATTTCAACACCGGCACAATGCAAATGCGACGGTTGATTAACAATCCCACACAACCAGTATTCGAACAACTGCCACTCCAAAGTAGCAACCTAGGTGTGCCAAATCCTGTTAATACGAAGGTCAACCAACATATAATGGAGTGAAGCTTGACAACGGACAACTGGTCCGGTTGCTGGACGAGCCTCTCCCCATTCCAATCGGGCCAGATATCACCAGGCATTGACAGTGTCTTCGTTGGGCAGTGACCGATGCGCACGCACTGCACCCTGCAAGAACCAGATCATCCTTCCACAATTGCTCAGATGAGACTGTCGCACTGTGTTCCCTGGCATCCGGCCAGCCAATCCATCCGCCCGCACGCATACACTTGGAAAACTCCTTGAACGGAATAGCTAGGTTTTACAAGACGCAATCATAGCAGGTACGTCCTAATCCGCATCCGGAACTGATATCACAAGCACTGGATACGTGTATACAGTGTGTTTTGTTATGTTGCGGGCATGGATGCTCTGCGGCGCGAGGTCTCGCAGTCCCGTACGAACTCGGACGACTACAACCCGGAAACCCTACAAAAAACACAAAGTACCTCGAGCATTCCGAACCGCCGAAGTACGGCCATAACGTTGGGCCTGAAACCTAGATAAGCCCTGCGGCACTGATTCCAAGTATTGAGCCAAACGAGGCAGCAAATACAAAAGTCATGTTTAATTCGCCTACTGAACCTGACTCACTCATCTCGTAAGCCACAGCCCATACTCTGCTGGAGAAGTCATCGAAATAATCATCATCAGAGAAATCTGCATGGACGCATAGCTCCATGGCAACAACCGCTTCGCCATAAAGACGCCCCAGAGATCCTTGCAACAAGCCCGCAGTCGCAGACCTTCTTCCAGGTCACATGACACGCACGGGCCCTCCTTTCACAAAACGAGACAAGGAAACCCAGGAACATATGAGCAACAGGTGCCGGCGTCACCACCATGCTCCGTGCTGCGAAATAGCCATACTCAGTGATCATGTTGCTATTGGCCCAGTTTCTCGAAATGTGGAAATCCAACAGTCCCTTCTGTCTGTCGAACTGTGCTCCTCGTTGGTCTCTGCACGAGCCATAGCACCTGGAAATCGAAGCTGAACATCTGCCAGCGCATCCTTGTAAGGCCCAATGCTGCAAGCTGCTGACTGCTGCTACACATGTCCAAGTCCTTGTTGATGGTCAGCACATCGGTACGACTGCTAAAACCGCGGACCTTGCAAGTGACTGCAGCAAGGTGAAACAAGTAGAAATGTTACAATGTGGAAAGGAAAGGGCTAAGAGAGCCAAACGTTTCAAGTTACTCAGCTCACACGGTCACTAATGTCCAGTCCAGGTGCCAGAACGGGGAGGGCTGCGATCTGACCAACAACATCTGCGCTTTGATAAATTCCACATAGGACCTGAATACGGCAGGTTTGTCACAGCTCGCTTTGGATGAAGAAGCTCCGAAGCTGCACTCCGGCCTCAGATGCAGAAGGTCGGATCAGGGTGCCATCCTGGCCATGGCTCCGTCTGAAGCGTGATCACTGCTCAGAACATTCAAAGCTCCCCAGCCTCAAATTCCTGCTCCATCAGGACTTCACCCAATGCGCTCCGCTTCAAGCACTGCTGAACCTGACAGTGATTTAGAGACGCACAGGAGCTGCCGACAGTACAACTTGCATTTGGCCCCCCTGCCCACGTCTTCAGCTGCGCAATGTCTTGGCGATCGCCATCACACACTGCCTGGAGGAGCACACCATGATGGAAGACTCCAAAAGCACGAGCACTCAGAGATCCTCCAGGCAGCCATGATTCACGACATAGACCTGCCAGAAGTGCAAATCCATGCGCAGTGTACGCTGGAGGATTGCCTCTGCTGTGACTTCTCCCTCTTCAATGATCACCTCATTCTGCAAGACCTCCAGGAGACGGACAGCTTGGCGATAGACAAACCAGAGATTGAAACTGAGGTCAGGGCATGTTGAGGCATCATCATCTGAACAAGCTCTATCCTGAAGGCCAAGTCCTGAATTTGTGGTAGAGTTCGTTTCCATCCTGGATTGAGACCAACAATATCTGCAGCTTAATTGGCCCTGAAATCAGCACAACTAGCTTCAGTTCGGAAGCAGCGAACCGCATGCCGCATGCCTGCATGCGACTTGCATGGACCGTATCGACATGATGCGTGCGTTAACACCAAATGCCAAAGCGTCGTACCTTTCTTGTGTACTGGCTTCCCTCTTCGCTTCCCGGCAAGCCACAAAGCAAGGGTTGTCAATTCAAGCAGCCAAGATGTTGGACTTCGTACAAGCGACGTGCTTGCAACGACTTGTAACACATGAGGCTCCCGAGCGAGGAAGCGGTCCTCCTCATGGAAGGGTCTTTCCAGAGTACGCAGCCACTCAGAGTATGAGTTTTGGATAATGTCCATCCTGCTCAGAACTGGAAAGCCGCTCGAGTGCCCTTCCCGTGAAAGATTTTCGGTCTAGACCGACTCGAATGCGCGCCTGATGCTCATGGGCATGTTGCCAAGAATGTCCGCCTGGAGTTCGTCGGACATGTGTCACTCTTGTCGATGCAAGCATTGCCATTATGCACTCTCCTCATTGAAGATGGACTTCTTGTGAAGAACGTACTGGGTGTGTTCTCGAATGGCTGCCCTGGGCAAGCTCCATGCATTGTGGTTGGTAACACAGTCATGCTAGAGCAGGCCCAACAGCAACATCTGTGATGTAGGGCCTTTTATCGGTTCAAACGAGCTTGGTGAAGCGACATGTGCAAGCAGATGCAAGCAGTTAATTGAGATGATTGTGAAGTCGGTGTGTTGTGGTGTGTTGGGCAGGTTCGAAATGATCGCCTATGCAGGATCCTTGTCCGAACATGTGGGTCTGAATCCAAGAGCAAGCACACCGGCGTTCGTTCGGCACCAGCCGCTTCCGTTATTACCGTGTTGGATCTGTAAGTTCTGCAGCTCGCCGAGGGGTCTAGACCCTTGCAGGCGAGGGCATAGACAAAACGGAGTCCCCCGCACACACTCTAGCCGCAAGCCGCTTAGCCAGTGCTGGGGTGCAATAGATTCACCAGCCTCCTGAAGCATACACGAAACAAGACATGCAAACTGAAGACCCCCAAGGTTGTAGAGGACTGCAGACAGCGACCTGGCAACAACAAGAGTAACAAGAGCTTATCCTGGAGGTTGACGGGGACGCTGGCCGATAAAAGAGGTGGCGGCTTCAATGCTGCTGTTGGTGGTGGGCAGTCGTGGTCTGGGATCTCGTCGGTGGTCATCGCACGTCTTTTCAATTGCGAAACTATCTGGTATGACAAAAAGCTGTACAACAGCAAAAATACAAACAGATGCGTTCAATACAAAGGCTTTACAAACATGCAAAACAATCGGAAATTCAGCCTCGACCTGTTCTTTTGCATTGAACGGTGAACTCGTTGTACATGCTCCTAGCCACAAGCAGCACTTTTACAGGTAGTACTAGTGGTGCGTGGTGTCTACTGCTTATTCAACTGCGAATGGTCGATAGACGAATGGTATAGCCTGCATGCGGTGTGCGATTTTACTTAATCACATCATTGGTCAACATAGTGTCCTGCTTGTAGTGATGCCCGCTGTTCAGAACTTAGCACGGCTCACCTATGTACGCCCGAGCTGGTTATCTTCACGATAACATCAGGCTTCAGGCTTTCTGTAAACCAATCCGCCGATTGAGCAGCTAGCCGTATCTACCCAATCCACCGCGTCTCTCTATGTCTCCCTCCTCAGGTTAGACACCACCATTGGTGGGTTCACCGTCCGCGCTATCGTTTACAATGCTCGTTGAGGGAGGGCTAAGCTGGCGCTCCGGTTCCATGCTTTTTGCCCAAGACGGGCAAGAAGCAATGAACCATGTGGGGAACCTTCGCTCGGGCAGGTTGTTCCCATTCGGCCTTGATGGGATCCAAAGCCTCGATTTCCGTCGTGTAGCTCGAGTCCGATCTTCTGATTATTGCACCTTCTGAAGCGCAAAGCCTCGGTTGCTTTGCATACCCTGTTGATCGTTGCGCAGGAGAACGATACCACCATCATCATGACGCCGTAGGTGTCGCAGCTCGGGTCCCGTTGCTGCTCAATTGGCTCAAAACAAGGATCCGTCCCTGTTGTGAACGTTCCTTGGGCTCACCGGCAATACTGGCGTCAAAAGCTGCGAGCATAGCTATTTGGTGGATGCTGCCTTGTGCTCCGGGAAAGCGTGTGGTGCTTCATCATTTCCAGCGGATCTTGAGTGCTTGCATCTTCGTCACGCCTGGCCTCTGTGATGGCCATGTGCCCGCGGCCCTTGACTGAAGGCTTGCTTCCGTTCTGGGTGGGACTCACGTGCCGGCCCAGCGGCCTAGAGCGCCGCCGCGAAGGCACTCGCTCTTCGCCTTGATTGAATGCCTTCGCCTTTTCCCGTCTCCTGTACAATGAGGTGAGATCGGACGAATTGGCCCTTACTCTTTCTACGGCCCCTGCCGCCCTTCCGGCCCTTCCCCTTGCCAAAAGCAGCCAGGGTTTCTATCCTCCTCGTGTGCACGTGGGGGTCGTAGTCATCCTCGTCCCCTACGTGGTGCCTGATGGTCTTCCTCTTCAACAGGGTAGCCCGTGGCTGCACGATGGTGGTCCTTGATAGGCGCCACCGAAGGTGCGACTTTCACACAGGTGGACTCCGCTGTACCGCTCCACATGGCTAGCACGTGCAACCTCGAAGTTTCGATGGCTGGTGCAAACTTTCCTGACACGGGGTTCCTGACGGCTAGGGCCGGCGAGCTCAAGAGTTCCACGCATCGGCTCCGAGAGCTGCTGTCATCAAGTGACTTCAGCATGATCTCGCCAGCTTGCCGTGCTGGAGCGCCCTGGAAAGTGCCCGAACCTCCTGCGCTCGCGGGAAGACTATGGCGCGCGATTTGACAATTCAGTCCCGTATACCACCTGCGGCAGTTGGAGACTCCATCCCGATATCTCTGGCAAGTTCGAAATCGTCGTCCCGAAGTCCCTCTTGGACACGGTGGACCATGTCGTTCTGTGCTTTCACTGCGTATGCCCTGGACCCGTCCATCGGGAGCGAAGTCCTTCGGGATTTCGTGCCGCGCGGCCTCGTTGGGAATCCGCTGGCATCAGGTGCAGTTTAGTGGGCCCGTCCTCGGAATGTACCGGTGTAGTGCGCGGGGGCAGCGCGGGTCAGGCTCGCAGCCTCGACCTCGGCATCGGAGTGGGAGTCATCAGGGTGGATAGATCCAGATTGCGGCTCGCGGTTACAATCGCGCTCGTCGCCCTTGGTGGCAGTCGCTGTCGTTTACGCGGACAATCGTTGTTTTGGTTGTTGTTGTGCTGTTGTTGTTGTTGGTACACACAAAAACAGCAGCCCGTAACTTATGTTAATTACAAACGTTTGGGAATGCTTCCGGCGACCGCAAAGGGTACCTGTAGAGTTATGGGAATGCAAGCCATGGTTTACACAGCATCTGCACCAGGATAGACATGCTGCGTAGGCTGGGTGGTTGTTGTAG